CCGCGCGTTGCCCAGTGCATGTGCTAGTGAGCCACCAGATTCTGCGATCTGCGCGATATCCGCGTGCGACGGCTCCGCGCGAGCTCACTTCTCACGGGGCCACGCCCGCAAAAATAAAGCATCTCCCTCCACGTGGGAAATGCAACGCGCCAGTCGCCTCGATCTCAGCGCCCCATCTCACTGCTTCAAGAGAGATTGTCACTCACCGCGCTGCCAGTTCGTTCCATCATCATGAGCGCACGGCATCCTGCCTCTCGCTTTCCACGAGGTGCTGTTTGATCTCTTCCAGGAAGGCCCCCATGCTGAGCGCGGACGGGGAGTCCTGTCTCGGGGCAAAGTTCTACGTTTGCCCATCCCGTCAGCAAAGCCTCGGTGGCTGTCGCGCATGCCCGACGCGCCAGCACGCAATTCAATTCTATTTCTCTTCGGCATCACCCCGAGACAAGATTTCTGGTGCAATCTCAGTCGGTCCACTTCGAAGGGCTTGGAGCGGCAGGCCGCAGGTCAGGTCGAAGTGCCGGGGTCATCCAAACCCTCCTCGACGAGCTCCTCCGTTGACTCCCGAAACTTGATCGCATCATCAGGCGCGGCCTTCGGGCGCGCGTCAGAAGGCTGGAGCACCGCGGGGCAGACTTTCCATTGGTGCCCCAAAGTTTCTTAAGCTGCAGCACAACGCAGGAATTGACTCGAACCTCCGATTCCCAAGTAAACAATTCTGTCAGGACATAGCAGATCTCCGGCCCGCAGTTCTCGCAGAGCCCCTCTCATAGACCCTTGGCAGACCCAGGGCGACGCTAGGCGCGCTGTCCGCCCCCAGATCTGCTCGTCGCCAATGCTCTCAGGGAAGTGCTTGCGAATTCGAGGCACCTGCAGCCGCCGCGCAGACTGAACTCGCCTTTTCTCCAGCTCCCGCGGAGCCACTTGCAACCGGGAGGCGCGCTGCCCAATATCATCGATGTAGTTTGCTGGTCCAGCGAATTTCCAAGGAATGCTAGTCTGCTGGCCCAGCGACCATCCAAGCAATGCGAGCCAGCGTAAGCCATGCAGATGCACCGGGCCCGCGTGCCATCGCCCTGCATGGTTCGATCTGGAACTTGGCAAGGGCTGCCTTCCGAATCTGATAGAGTCGAGAGTGAGAGACACGCGTCCACCCCATATGCAGCTGGCGCATCGCTGTATCAGGACAATCATATAACCGACAAGAGGATCGAATCGATCATCGCGCTGAGTAGAAATATAGAGCGTGAGTGAGGCATTCTGCTCTGCGCCGATCATCCCGCGAGCGAATGAGCGCAGCTGCTTGAGCACCGAAGCCGACGTGCCAGCGACGCCCGCGCAATGCCCGACCGCGGGGAGGAGCCGTGTTCTCCACAACGCATTTACACCCTCGTGAACCGTTCGACGAAGTTGCTTGATCTTACATACATGGGCATTTAGCTTCGAAAGTCGATCACGCCCTTGTACATGACGCACCGTCACCCCGTGTAGTTCGTGCCCTGAGGTACGAATGTGTTGATTGTTTTCTCATGCATCTCAGCCCCTCACGAGAAGCAATGCTTTGCCACAGTCGATGAAGTTACGAACCCTGATTTCGACTGCTGAACGATGGGGCCTAGCTCCCCGACGTCTGCCCCGAAGTTGCGCATGCACGTGTTGAGGACATGTGTTTCGCGAAGGTCGGGTCCGTGCCACTGCGTCGCGACATCATCCATAAGCACGCGCGCCGTCATATTGTTCATGTCTGTTGTATTGGCTGTTTACCACACGATACAGCATCGGCCCCGCGACTCGCGCCTGAACCCTCCAACCCCCTGGCCAGATTTCTTTTCCTTTTTTCGCGGGGGGTCAACCTTCGCGGCGACCCGTTAAACCCGGGATCCTTGGCGGCGCATGGATTCCGTTCCTTCTTCCGCGCGCGAGTTGCCATTGGAGCCCCTGGACGCCTCCCATTACCGTACAAATCTTACTTGAGTACGACTGGTACTATCATGTTCTAGGGCGCAGTTGTTCCTAGAGAGCACATTGTCCTGCCGTGCAAGTATTAGAGTGCAACTGATATCATACTGCAACTGGTAGAACTGTGCGGCCCAGTACACCTCCCTAGTACAAATCCCAGGTGCTAGTACAACTCCCTGGTACAATTCTCTAGCACATATCGTGCCAGTACAACTATTTGATGCAATTCCCGGGTGCTCGTACAAAACGCTAGTACAAGTCCCTAGAACAACTCCCTAGTAATAATAATTCACTGCGTGGAGCTCCCCATATGTGCATCTACTCGCATGGACCTGTCCGCCGTGAATGTCTAGGCGCAAGAACTTTCGAATATAAACGGGCTTCAGTTGTGGCGGTCTGGTCATGAATCTAACTGCGAATGAATTGGAGTGCGAATGAGCATCAGTAGTACGAGCGCGTCTCTGCGCATGAGCCTGGGGCCTCCTGGGGCCTCCTGAAACCTACTGGGGCTTCCTGGGGCCTCCAGGAGCCTCTTGGGGCCTCCTGGGACCTCCCAGGGAGACTTCGTGCCCCAGGAGAGGCCCAATATATAGCAACCGACGTCCATAAAACATTGCGGATTGGAGCCACAGGAGAATGGCAATCTATAGGAACACACGTAACGCACCAAGGACTCGTGCCCCAGGAGAGGCCCAACATATAGGAACATAAGTAAAATATTTAGGATTGTGTTCGCAGGAGAAGGACAATCTATAGAAGCATACGTATAACGTCAAGGATTCGTGCTCCAGGTGAGGCCCAATCTATAGAAGCATACGTAAAACACATGGGATTGGAGCCACTCCTGTTGCCTTCTGAAGCCTCCTGCTCCTGGGGCCTCTCGGGGCCTCCTGTTGCCTTCCGAAGTCTCCTGGCGTTTCCTGTGGCCTCCTGGGGCCTCCTGTGGCTTCCTGAGGCCTGGAGCTTCCTGGTGCATCCGGCCTCCTGATCCCACGAGTCTGGCCACCAAAACATGCAAACCGAACGAGACATGCTCAAAATCTCGCCCACCTGGGGGGTGAAAATGAGCGCCTCGCTCGAGACATCCTCCAAATCTGCTCCGAAAGCGAAGGATGTTGGGACAGAACACAAGCAAACCGCTTGAGACATCCGCACAAAACTGCCGCGAACGGGACCGTGTCATACCCCTCGGCGGCCCCCCCTAGGGGCGTGAGGATGAGCGCCTCGCTCGAGACATCCTCCAAATCTGCTCCGAAAGCGAAGGATGTTGGGACAGAACACAAGCAAACCGCTTGAGACATCTCCACAAAACGGCCGCGAACGGGACCGTGCCATACCCCTCGGCGGCTCCCCTTAGGGGCGTGAAAATGAGCGCCTCGCTCGAGACATCCTCCAAATCTGCTCCGAAAGCGAAAAATGCTGGGACAGAAAACAAGCAAACCGCTTGAGACATCCCCACAAAACGGCCGCGAACGGGACCGTGCCATACCCCTCGGCGGCCCCCTTAGGGGCGTGAAAATGAGCGCCTCGCTCGAGACATCCTCCAAATCTGCTCCGAAAGCGAAGGATGTGGGACAGAAAACAAGCAAACCGCTTGAGACATCCCCACAAAACGGCCGCGAACGGGACCGTGCCATACCCCTCGGCGGCTCCCCTTAGGGGCGTGAAAATGAGCGCCTCGCTCGAGACATCCTCCAAATCTGCTCCGAAAGGGAAAGATGTTGGGACAGAAAACAGGCAAACCGCTTGAGACATCCCCACAAAGCGGCCGCGAACGGGACCGTGTCATACCCATCGGCGGCTCCCCTTAGGGGTGCTGAAACCAGCGCCCAGCCTGAGACATCCTCACAATCTGCTGTGTGTAGAGTAAGTCTGAGTATGAGTAGATCTGAGGATTAGTAGGTCTGAATATGAGTATGTCTGAGTATGAGTAGGTCTGAGTATGAGTAGGTCTGAGTATGAGTAAGTCTGTGTATGAGTAAGTCTGTGTATGAGTAAGTCTGGGTATGAGGACGAGGAGGGAGGAGGAGAAGAAGAAGAAGAAGGAGTGGGAGGCGTCCAAGTAATGACAAGAGCCCCATCTTAGGAGATGGGGAATAATACAATTTATAGTACAACTCCGTAGTGAAACCTAGTGGTGGAATGTAATCGTACAAAACTTTCGTGCAACTTCTTAGTACAATGTCCTAGTCCAAGCAGTATTCATACAACTCCTTAGTACAATTCCCTAGTACAAGTCCCTAGCACACTTCCTTCGTATTAGTACAGCTCCTTAGCACAAATCCCTTATTACTAGCACAACTCCCTAGTGCAACCACTATTACAGTAGAGTGTTGCTGCATTGCACTTACAATCTGGTTATCACGCTTTTTCTCCTCTTGTTGCGCTGGGGGGGGGGGGCCCTCGCGCGGGCGCCCCCGCTGTTGAGAATTCTTTCTTCTTCCGGAATTTGAGGCGAACGTAACTCCTGGTGATCGAACCCCTCGCCAGGGATTATGTTCTTTCCTCCGCGGAAGCCAGACACCCTTTGGTTCCCAGGCGCGCCCCAGAAGTTCTTCCCTTCCGGATGGGCACCCATGGGTCTTTTGTTGGAGTCGCGGGGCTGATGATACAGCACGACCAGCAACTTTGTCGCAGCGTGTGTACATCCTGCAAGTACGCCTTGAAAAGGTGCGTTTGGAGAGCGGATATTTGCAGATGCGCGAACATTATGAGGATAACAATCAACTCGAGGGTTGTGGAGGTGGTGGGGATGTGAAGACCCAGAGATCCGACGTTGCGAACATGAAGCAACATGGCGAGAAATCGTGTATAGAACCAAACCAGAAAAATTTGCGACATTTTCTGAGACGGACCGATATGCGATGGTCCCCGGTGCCGAAACTAAGCGAGAATGCGCACAATGAAACATTGCATTGCCCAGGCCTCAGGGGAAGGTGGCGAGGATGTGGAAAGGAGGATGAAAGGGGGAAGGGTGGGGGAGAGGAAACGTTGGAGGTGTTCCCCCGCAGCTCCCCCTTTGTCTCCCCACCTTCCCGCGCCAGCTGGGGGGCGACGATTGCTCCGACGACGGCGGCTCCGTGCTCAAGGTCCGTGCCTGCCTTTCTGCGCCCCTGCTTGGAGTAAGGGTTCTCCGGTTCTCCACAGGGAATGGGAAGGATGGGCGAGGGAGGAAAACGAGAAGCCAACGAGGATGGGGGAGGAGGAGGAGGAGGAGGAGGAGGAGGAGGAGGAGGAGGAGGAGGAGGAGGAGGAGGACGAGGAGGAAGAGGAGGAGGAGGAAGAGATGGACGGGGAGGAGGAGGAGGAGGAGGAGAAGGAGGCGCAGAAGGAGAACGAAGAGCATGAGCAGGAACAGGACCAGGAGCAGGAGGAGGAGCAGGAGGAGCAGGAGGAGCAGGAGGAAAAGGAGTTGGAGGAGGATGGGGAATGGTAGCATCCCAGCCTTGAGGCCCAGAGCGCCCCAGGGGCGCCGCCGCAGGCGGCGACAGTGTGTTGAGACCGCCCTGAGCTACTCGGAGGTCCTGAAGGGGCCAGCCAAGACTACTTGGGTGGTCTGTCTGTGCGCAACCAACCTGGAGGCTTACCAAGCAGGAAGAGGAATAGGAGGATGGGGGATGGAGTGGCAGGCTCTTGCCAGGTTCGTGCCTCTGGAGATAGACGTTTTGGGGGGATGGCGGGTTCGTGGACGAGCACGGGGGAGGGGATGATGAAGAGGACAGGAGTAATTCCTGAACGAGAGGAGGTTTCTCTTGATTCCCTTGCTCTTTTCTCCACCACATCCTTGCTCCTTGTCCTTCTCCCTCCTTCTCCGTCCTTCTCCCTCCTCCCTTCTTCCTTCAGCCCCCGTCCTTCCTCCTGTGTGCTTCCGCCTTCCTCCAGTAATAGAAATCGGGGAGGAGGATCGGGAGAAGGGAGGAGGAGGGGGGGCGACGTCGCTCTTTTACTGCTGCCATGCATCAAGCATGGATAGCTTTCGAAACCAACGGTGCGCCTTCAGCCAAGGATTCAGCTTCAAACATAAATCGGTGCGTTGTTCTTGGCCCTCGTGAACGCAAGGATGCCAGGCTTCTTCCCTCGCCCTTCCCATCACGCTCCTCATGCTCCGCATTGACCTCGCGATAATGTGACCCCCCCTCTTCCTCCGCTTCCCTCAAGCATGTTGGGCCTCTCACGCCTCCCCCCTCAGGGAGGAGGAGGAGGAGGAGGAGGAGGCGTTTCTCTTCCTCCTCCTCCTCCTCCCTCCTGCCTCTTCCACTCTCCCCCGCACCTCCCCAGACAGTCCTCTTTGGGAGCCTCTCCAGGCCTTTCGCCGCGAGGGAGGGGGAGGAGGCGGGCCCTCCTCCCCTCCGTGCGCCTCCTCCCCCCCGCGCCCCCCCCCCCCGCACCCGGGCGGCCCTCTCGATATAGTCAAGACGCCGAAACAAGGAGCAGTTCGGGTTCGGAAGGGGCTCGATGTTTCTTGGGTTCATCCAGTGCTGTTCCTCTCGCCCTCCTGGGGCACGGAGGCGCTTACGGGGCCAAGAAGGGGCCTCGTTCCTTGTTTGGCGTTCCCTCTTTCAGCGGCCCGACTGTAGAGTTGCGGATCGGCTTCGCAGTCGCTTTTTCACGGCCCGTGATGCGAGCGGTTCGCGCGCGAGCCAGCAGGGATGGCGTCGGAGTGTGCAGACGGCGACGCGAACACGAAGGCCTCCCGCGCCAGGGCGAGAGCAGACAGGGGTGGCCAGCGGACTACGCCCTTTACCTCTTCAGCCGCACTAATCCTATCAGGACCTTTGCCGCGCCCGGGGGCGGGCCGAGGACGGACGACAACCACGACGACGACGACGATTACGACGACGACGACGATGTTCCTCCACACTCCTCCATCATCTGTGCGCCCCGCTTCCTCCTTCCTCCTCCCGCTGTCCTTCCTCTCTCCTCATCCTCCTCTTCTTCCTCACCCTCTCACTATTCATCCTCGCCTGTTGGGTTCAGCTGGTAGTGCGGCCAGTGGCTCATCATCTGACACCTTCCCCACAGAGGTTCCGAGACAAGCCAGCAAATCAGTCGATTGCCATTTTGGCGTTGGACTTCTGAGGAGGGGCGGAGGAGGGCGAGAGGAAGGAGGGGATTGGATGAGGAAGGAGGGAGGACGGAGCAGGCGGATGGAGAAGGTGGAGGGAGAAGGATGAGGGAAGAGGGGGTGATCGAGAAGAGGCGAGGATGAGGGGGCGTGGAGCTGGATCTCGAAGCTCGTTTTCCGAGCTTCTGCGCTCCCTCCTCCACACTCATCCGTCCTTGTCCTACATCCTCCTCCTCCTCCTCCTGCCCCTCCTCCTCCTTCTCCTTGCTCGCTCGCTCGCTACCTGAGGGCCTAAGAGGTTCGAAGCCCATGCTGAAAGGATGAGAGAAAAGGCTACCCCTCTAACATGCACGTGCAAAGAGAGGGGAGGGTGGCGAGGGCGACTGAAGTGAGGATCGAGGGTGTCCTCACAAAGGCGGCCTCGGCGATCAAGGTCGAGACCAGTCCAACAAAGGCAGCCGTTGTCGAGCACTCGCTCGACAGACTTGGTCGCATGTGCCCACAGCTGTGTGGGCACGGTCCCTGACACAGGCCCGAGCGGAGGGCCTCCAAGGACGCAAGACCATAGGCAAGCAGAAAGCAAGGATTCAAGTGCCTGGCCCCGAAGGCACACCCGTCAAAACATCGCCTTGAGCATCCCTGGGATTTTGGCCAAAACGCCCACTTCGGGTATGCCGCGAAGATCGGGCCCTCCATAAGCTCTCCAAGGCAGCACAAGCACAACAGGAATAGCATGCAAGGTGTAACACAAACATAAGTCAAGAGCAGCCTGCATGTAGCGATTCTCGCGGCTGACAAACTCAGCCAACTTCGCGTTGTTCCGTGGGTGACCCCACATGTGCCCATCCCTTCTGCAATTCTCATCTCTCCAAGAGCGACAGGGTGGTTCCAAAAAGAGCGCAGCCGCTCTCCCCTCAGAAATCCTCCTCCCCTTGGAGGCCTCTGGGGCCCTCGCCTCGAAGCGGTCTCGAGGGCAGTGCGGGGGTGGCGGGTCCGAGAGCCCCTTCGGCTTCCCGAATTGGGGCCCCCTCTTGGGGGCTTTCTCGGAGGCCTACCGGACCGTGTTGGGGGCCTCTTCGGGTCCGAGAGCCTCTTCGGGTCCGAGAGCCTCTTCGGCTTCCCGGGTTGGGCCCCCTCTTGGGGGCTGTCTCGGAGGCCCATCGGACCGTGTTCGGGGCCTCTTGGGCCGGTTGGGGGGCTTGCTGCGGGCATTTGCGGCCGTCGTGGAGCGACATCGGGGGCTTTGGGGGGCGCGTCCTGGGGTGTCGGGAGCCCGACGCGGCGACAACGCTAAAATCGTTCAAGCACCCATGGGGCATCAAGGATCTGCCGTTTGGGGAGCCCCCTTGTGGAACGGTCTTCGAGCCCTCCAGGAGCGACGTGGGGCTCCTGGGGCCGTCCTGAGGCAATACTCGACTGCCTTGGAGCGCTCTTAGGCTTTCTCGGGGCCCCTCTTGGACCGTTTGGGGGCCCTCTTGGGGCCCTTTGGGGGCCGGCCGTCTCGGGGCTTATGGTCTCCGACTGTGTCGAGCCCAAGCGAATCCAAAAGTTCAGGGCCTGGGCCCCTTGCAAGAGTTAAGTCGGGCGTGTCCCCCTACAGGGGGACTTTCGAGGAAAAATAAAAAATACACCAGGCGTAGTCAAACAATACTCCAAAAATAGTCTGGGGATTATTTTTTGAGCTTTTTGATGTATTTGGGGGTATTTTTTATTTTTCGGCGCAAATCCCCATGTAGGGGGACACGCCCGACATAAGACAAGAGTCTTCACACGATTTGCTACCGGGTGACTGGAGGACATCCCCAGCGAGTGCCTCGCAGCACGGCTGCGAACCCGAGTACATTCCACTCGGTGCCTCGCGGCACGGTGGCGGATAGAGTTCGGTGGCGCGGCACTGAAATATAAGAAGCATCTCCGGTGCGAGAGGCAATCCAAGACATGGAGACGATGATATGTAGTACAGGGTCCGGCTCGAATAAGGAACTCTTGTTTTTCGAAAGGGGCTCGGGCGTTCCTTTGGTCTGCACGCGTTCCGCTACCGTTTCGGCGGCGAGTCCCCCAGGTGCTCCTTCGGACTTCCTAGACTTACTTGGAAAACATGGGGTTTCGTTCTTTATTTGTGGCTCTTTAGGTCAGGCCGAATGCTGGAGATGATAAATTTGAAGTATCGCGAGTGCGGTTGGGTTTGCGGGATCCGTGGCAGCAGGAAGTTTGATATGAAGTTTTAGTTTCAGGCGGAGACAGTCAAGGATGGGGGCGAGCCTTCTCGTAGTGTTCGCTAGGCAATGCGGGGCCATTGTCGAAGCAGCTGGTCGTTGGCAATGGGTCTCATGAGGTGCAGCAGGGTTGGTTTCGGTTTCGGCTCCGCCACAGGAGAGGCTGCTGGTATCTGCTGGAGCTGAAAGGAGCGCGAGTTCTCCTCGCTTTTTATGCCTCGGCCGCGCAAGAAAGGTCAAAACGAACTTGGGAAGTGTTTCGCTGCACCTGTTACATTCGAGCGTGCTGTTCGTGCAGCTGCGACGTTGAGGCCGATGCCGAGGCCGCGGCGGTCATTCGTAGGTGTTCGTGGGGTGTGCACGGCAGTCTTGATGGCTCATGTATTTGAATATGTGTCGGGCAACGCAGGAGCAAGAAGTTTGGATCATGATACGCTCCCAGAGTCACCGCATCTCAGTATTACCAGCATTTCTTACTGTTCCGCACGGGCTCCAGAAACGAGGGCCGCTAGGTACTCCAGAATGTTTGGAGCGTATCTTGAGGTCAATCATATCATTACTCATGGCCGCATTCTCGTCTTACGGCAGAGTTGGAGCTCGTCGCTGGAGGCAAAGTAAATCGGCAGTACGTTTTCCTGGCTGGTGTCATACTATCAGGGATTGTACAACAGATCTGCATATTGCGGCCGTGCGCAGCAACACGCATCGCGGTAGCCGTCGCGTTGCGAGCATGTGTCATCGGGCGTGTAGTTGGTGGCATTCA